TTGGCAATATTTTAGGAAAAGTTGCACCAAGTATGAAACTCTGTATTCATTGGATTTCTTTATATCTACATATCTATATCAACCTGTCATTTATCTACCTATTTGCATACCTCTTTGATTTCATTTTTGATTTCTAAATGAAATCCAAACATCTTGGTAGTGTTACCAATATTTTAAGGAGAGTTTATTTCCATAATGGCTTTACTAATTTATGTTCCCCTTACCAGTGTACAGTTATTCTTTTTCCCCCTATATCCTTGCCAGTAATTGTTATCTTTTSTTGTTTTCAACAAGTTAAAGTCACTATGGTTCCCTTTCTTTTTTATATATATTTATGAATAAATTCATACAGCACTCATTTTTCTGTGCCTGTTTTTTTCAGTTAGCATAATTATCTCCAGTTAACGCTATTTATACATATGACAGATTTTTGTTCTTTTTTATGATGTTTTATGATGGAAGAGTGTTCTATTGCATGTATGTATGACTTTTTTTATCAATTCATCATTTTACTGTTGGCTATTATGAGTAATATTGCAATATATTTGGTAGCCCAAGTGTTTCTTTGATATACTTTTGGAGTCTTATTTTTTAAAAAATCCACACCCATTCCAAGGTTCTAAGTGAATTTCCTATACATTTTCTTCTAGTACGTTCATTATTTTGTGTCTTACATTTAAATCTTTAATTTATTTCAAATTGATTTTTAGAACTGGTAAGAGATTGGGCTCTATTTTTACTCTTCCACACACTTATAACCAATTTACCCAGCCCCATTTCTTGAAAAGACTATACTTTCTCTAATGCATATTCTTAASAGTTTTGTAAAAATTCAGTTGGCTCTGGATACCTGGATTAATATCTATTACCTGCTTTTGGCACCAAAACAGACATATTGACCAATGGTACASAATAGAGGATACAGAGACAAACCCACAAAAATACAGTTATCTTATACTAGACAAAGGTACCAAAAACATACATTGAAGAAACTTTTTTTTTCTTTTATCCACTACCTTAAGATACCTAGCAAGTTAAACACAGTGTGTTGCTAATAGGGACCCATGGTCTCTATTTAGCTGTTACTGATACTTGCTTTTTGTAGTCTAATTCCCTCACTGAAGTTTGATAAATGTCCACATCTCTGTGTGAACCAGACGGGATCTAGAGGTAGACCTGAAATTCTCTGGGTGGTTATGAGGATTAATGGATATTT